AAGACGATTATTAGAACATTATAGGAAAGTTTCATCAAAATTGTTGCAGCCGTTTTCACGCTACAGTGTATAGAAAAACATGTTTTTCATTTATTGCGAGCAAGCTATTGCGTATAGAGCACCGAATTTCTGTCACATGCATCAGTAGTCAAAACCCTACAAAATAAAAAAAGAAGCAACAAAACCGATTCCCGAGAAAATCTTGGTACAGACAGACAGACAAATGGTTAAAAATGTGTTTTTCGGACTCAGCGGGCTCTGAAACGTATTTCAAAAATGGCATACCGGAAATTTGACCCGATCTCAATACTTTCCTTATGTAGTATAGGTAGGAAAGTATAAATGTTTTAAATGAAATATATTAAGAATAGTTACTAATAAAACATTAATTCGTATATTAAAATAAAAATATCTCCGACCTTACTAATACTAAACCACTGCCATCCTTCAAATTGATTTAAATAAATATATGGCGTAACAATAAGACCAGCCCAATCGATGAAAAATCGGCTACCCCATCCGAGCGCGAACCCAAATCACTGCTGCTGATATTCTCAATGCTTTTTCAGTACTAAGAATACAAGATAAATATATAATATAATATTGTATATGTGATTAGAAACAGCTTGTAAAATTCATAAGTGAATAAATAAATTATTCAATATTTTACTGATTATAACGTGGTGTCGGCATGGATATTTATATTTTTTATTCTGGTATTACTTATTTGACTTGAGATAGAAGATAATGTTTTTATTGAGTAATATTATATGTTGTCACAATCAAGAGTTAATCATATTTAAAATAGAATAGAAATAATGAATCTAAACTCGATTACTTAGAATGGATGAAGGAAGAATGGCAAGAGTGTACGAAAACTTTAAAAGCTGAGGAATATTAAAGAAAATAAATTAGTGAATGGCGTTTATTCTGACTAATAAAATAGTCCAAGTAAAAGAAGAGATACCCGCTGAAGAGTACTGAACAATGTTAATTTTTAAAGTTTTGAATGGTAAACCTCCAACTATATTTATTATAAATAATCATGTTGCATGGTTAATCTATGCTTGAGAGCGAGATGGCCGTTGTGGGTTCGATTCGATTCGATAAAAAAAAAAGGACCACGAAAGGTCCCACTTGTCGGACTAGTCCACCTACAAGTAGCAGTGCCAGTACCAGTAGCCTACGCTTAAAATTGGAATTTATAAACAACTGATGTTGAAGGATTGTTATTACATTCATTCGCTATTTAATTATTTTATTCTAAACCTAATATGTAATAGAATGTAATAGAATAAGTTATATCGAGATATTTTATGTAGATTTTTGTGTGCGCACGCTTATGTTTGCGTGTGGATCTCTTTTTTTTATTTATAAATATAATAATCTCTCACTTGGACAATAGTTATAGTGATATATCAACACATTCACACCATATATACAGAAAATATAAAATTAACAAAAGTAAAATAATAATAAAAAACTATGTACAATAAAAAGATAAAATAACCTAAAGATAAGTAAATTTAAAAACACAGTCATACCTATATACAATATATACAATTAGGCAGGGAATCCCAAGCCAGGCTTCTCCCTCCAACTATAGAAGGAAAAGCAGGACTCCAAGAGATCCCTGCGCTACGCTCTCAACCGCGTTAGATTCAAACTCAGGAGTTTGAGCAAGAACGCTTTAGCCACATACAGTGGTCCTCTTTAAAACTCCAATTCGTCCTTAACTACTTATCCACTTATAACCGACAACATAAAATCAAATAAAAGTTTTGAAATTACGGAACGTAACACGTCGATTTCATCGAAATATCGTTTTTCCTTGTGCCTTATTGGCTGTTTTATTTTTCGCTTTGAGTGAAAGATATTTTAATGTTTTGTTAATGTGCTGCGTGAACTCAAAACATTTAATAACAAGAGGGGAAAAAAGGGAGACCTATTATCCACTCAACTCAATGGTGTTGCCGATTAATCTAGTTCTCCAATTATTGTTAACGGCATGTGTAATGGGATCTTTGGGGGCACCGCTACAAGGAATTATGATTAGTAAATTAATAATAATCACCTTTAACCTAGATAGAATTTTTTTTTTGAAGCGAGGATAGCTAAGAGCTAAAAGAATATTGTAAAATATTATATACATTTTAGAGCTAGAAACACTTTATTTTCATATAAAATATAAAAGATTGCTGCCCAATTATATTGGGTTGCTATATACATATTATACTCGTTAATCCGTAGGGCAATAAATGAACTTATATATAAATATACAGAAGTGGTTAGTTTATATGAGTATAATAAATATATATATATAATTTTATTTTCATTGTTCATGTTTTTTTTTTAAACATTTAATTTTCCTTTCTGTCTCTTTAGACACCTCTCCTATACAGAATATTAAGATGCTTAACATTACAGTAGAACAATAACAAAAAACAAAAGTGTATACATCTAGAATTAAATAAAATTTAATATGAAACAATTATAACAGATATTTTTTCATTAAATAAATAATGAATTAATAATAATGAAATTATAATTTTAGTAGTGTTTAAGGACTTTAGCTTTATACGCTGATTTACTAATTGAACTTAACCAATTTGACAAAATCTTCTCTTGGTATAACCAAACTTTACGGGTAGTTTTTTGTTCGTTAAACTCGAGAAAACAGTTGTAATAATTTTTTTCAAGTATATTTATTATCAGCCATTTTACACCAATTTTCAAAATTTTGTCAACTTAATGACTACACATCTAATTACGACGTTTCGGCTCGTTGAGCCATTTTCAAGTCTAAAATTTTTTTACAATTTACAATCATATTTAAAACATTACATACTTCAACATATAGAGATTCTTTTTATATACCTAAATACCAATCATGTACCTGTCCTTTTCACTTATGCGAATTGCATGCGTCTACTCATAATAAATTTTTTTTATTTTTGTCATGTCCACCTTTAATTATTTTATAACATTATTATTACTCAATTATTTATTATTAAATGATTCAAATTAGTTAAAATTACCTTATAATGTGACACCGACATGTAATCCGTCTCATTTCTATTCAGTGACTGGTTATTCTTAAAGGAGTAGGGGAAGACTATTTATTTTAAAACATATACAATGATGTTTCCCAATATTATATATGGACTTATTTTAAGTAAAATTAGCTAATTCATTTCATATTTTTATTTTTTCAATCGAACTCGCGTAAAAGGTATTCATATTATCCACGTCTGTATGATTATTTACCGAGTTTTTTTAATTTTTAGCTATGTATATTGCTTCCTTTATTCTACGTTTATTCATATTCCTTCATTATGCAGGATTTTGAAATCAAATTCATGTTTTATTTGCATGGTATGCTGAGAGAGCCCAGTAGCTAATTTAATTTTTGTGTTTTTTGAATTACAATTTTGTTTATGCTGTTTAAATCTTTTTTCAAACCATTGTGATGTCTGACCAAAATATGATTTGTTGTTGCAATTTTTACAATTTATTTTATAAATAATATTCGTTAATTTATCGGTGGGTATTTTATCTTTAGTTTTGGAATAAATTGTATCTATTTTATTAATAGGTTTGATAGCAAATTTAATTTCATTTACATCATATTGTTTAAATGTTCTTTCTATTTTGTCCGTTAAATTTCTAATATATGCGACGCTAAAATACTTTTTAGGTTGTTGTTTGTTTTTATTATATTTTTCGTTTTGTGTTTTAATGTCATGTATATCGTTCATGGAAGGTTTTTGTTTTACTGCATTTTCGGTTTTAAAATAATTTGTTATTAAATTCAGTTCTTTATTAATTTTGTTATTTTGGTTTTCATTCTCGCTTTTATCATCACTAATATCTTTTGTCGCTTTGTTACTATTGTCATTTTTAACCAACTTTTTATTTTTATACCACAATTTATTTATTAATCGAATGGGATACCAGTTTTCTAATGGAATTTCATATATTTGTGTTTTGATTTCTTTTATATGATTTTTATCGGTTATTAATTTTACTTTGTCTATTAAATTTTTAGCTGTATTAATTATTATATGTTTTTTATGGTTGCTGTGCCAATTTAAGATTCTATTACTGGTTATTGTTTTTTGCACCATGACGTGCTAAGTTCGCCATTGAAAATTGGTGTAAAATGGCTGGTAATAAATATACTTGAAAATAAATAGTATGCACCGAAGAAGAATTTGAGAAATATTGTGAAAGTTGTAATAATATTTTGTTACGGCGATTAAAAAGAATGGTATTGCACCCAAGTTGTCTCTCCGTAATTCATTATTTTTTGAGGTGTGAAAATTCAATAAAAGCGTATGAAATGTAAATAATTATTAATTATTCATTAAAATAATGTCGAGTTCAATAGGTTAGCAAAAATTAACAACCTTATTGTTTCGTTATAACTAACCGTTATAACTGATCCCTAGGTTCGAACTAGAATAACGTTAAGTACCCTATTTTGAAATAAACTTGTTTTTATTTCACTAACACTTTGAACAAAGATTTTTAGAACTTTTCCTGATTCCATTGGCCTCTTCCAATTCTGATATTAGTTCTTCTTCGGATACATAATTTTCTATTGATAGATCAAATATTTCGTTTTCAAGTGATTCTAAAATCACTGACTTCTTCCTCAGAAACTCTGAATAAGCGGATTTTTCTTCCAAATTAGGAATATCACAATTGCGTAACTGCTCTAATTCATTTGCGTACCTTGTAAAGAAAGTGCGACAAATCCTTCTCCGCGTCTTCTTATTTTGCATTTTGAATCCAGTCAAACTAAAAAAATGGAGTACTCAACATGTCCTGTCACAGTCGCCACTTATGTTTTCATCTTCATTCTTAAATCTTTTAATGTTATCTTCCTTAGCACCATCTTTACCACACAGGTCTTCAACTTCCTTTCGGTGGTCAGGCAATAATTCTCCTAAAATGATCGCTCTTTCGGAAGAATTAGATAAATCTTTTCCCCTCACTGCCTGGACATTTCCAACAACTTCAGGACCACATCCTAATTTTCTTTGAGTAATATTTGGATCAAAGCCAGGTTGTAGTTCACAAGGTGGGTAATATTTCTCTCCGTAACTTTGGATTTTAGCTGGTATACGGCCTTCCATGCCATTGTAATTTTCAGTCACTACGAGCATTTCTTTTTCTTTTTGGCTTTCTTTCCTCCTAGTCTCCTTCAAACAAGCACAGGTTTTCGAAGAAACTTCATCTCTGGAAGTATCATTTTTATCATAAATTCCATCTTCATCCTCAATTGCCCTATTTTAACAATATGTGAAACGATTAAATATTTATAACATAAATATAACTTTTGATTCCCAAACACTTATATTAACCCAACTCTAAGTTCGGGCAATGACGTTGTGTGGTGCAATTCATACGAAATCCTGATTTTCCGAATAGGTTCGGGTTTTACCGATTGGCAACTATGACCATGGATGAGGACGGTCCCCTTGACCGCACTCACCCGCCGGGAAGGGGATGCGACCTCAGCGGAAGCAGTGGGATATGGTCGCTCCCAATAAATATATTAGCCGGGGGAAAGGGGATCCCCTACCGTTAGTAGGAAAAGGAAAGTAGGATGGAGCTGGTGAGTGGGGGACGAGGAGTAGCTCATTCCTCGAGGAGCTCTGACACCAACAGGTAAGCTTCTCCAGCTACTTCCAGCTCTTGCGTTCCAGGCACCTTCTTCCCCGTACAGCAATAACGGGAATTGTCCATTCAGAGCCCAGTTATTGCTGTACGTCGAGATTAATTATCTTAAGAGTAACTGTTTCCAGATTATAACTAACTGAACGAATTGGATAAGTGGGTCCAGTGCAGTCTCACTGTTCCCACTGCAGTTACACAGTTTTTATAACAAAGTAATTAATCATTAATAGTGATAACATTTTTTCTTTTTGTTGACATTATAATCAATTCTGACTTTTAAAAATATAGTAATTTCTATGACTATATATAGTTATATTTTGAGTAAATAGAGTTCATATAATTTGATTCATACAAAATATTACTTGTATCATAAAGAAATATTGATTTGAGTTATTTTTTTCATCTTCATGGAAGTACAAGGTGCCTAGGTTCTTTGTTTTATTAATGATTTAACCAAGCAATTAATATAATTTTATCATAATTAATCCTAGTTATCTAAGTTAATTTCATGTTATTATTTATTGTTTTTATTTTTTGTTGATGTTCCTTCCGCCACATAAGTCATGTTAATCAGTAATACATTTTTTTTTCGTTTTCTATTTATGGAGAAATTAATGTTTTTTACTGTGAACATTTTCATTAACTATACTATTAATTCGTGGTCATAATAATCAACGTTTCAACAACAAATAGTCATGTGGTTTATACGCTTATGGCGAACTACATCTTAATAAAACTGTGGAGTAGAAAACTGAAATATTTTTTACACAACTGGTAACATTTTAAATATTTTTTGTAATATTTAACTTAATATTATAATATTTATAATATTTAACTTTTTTTTTTATTTAGAAATATAATAACTGTCAGTTGGACAATAATTATAGTGATATATGAACACATTTACACCATATATACAGAAAATATAAAATTAACAAAAGTAAAATAATAATCAAAAAGTATGTGCAATAAAAAATAAAATAACCTAAAGATAAGTAAATTAAAAACATATTGTGTTTTTATGTTTTTAATTTACTTATCTTTAGGTTATTTTATTTTTTATTGTACATAGTTTTTGATTATTATTTTACTTTTGTTAATTTTATATTTTCTTTGTAATACTAAGATTGTCTTTACTGATGTTGATAAGAGCAAGTGATTAATGAATTTCAATAAATTAATAATATTCTTGATCGACGAGAAACTTTCAGTAAGAAATTTAGAGAATTAGGTTAGTATAAATAAACATTAATACATATATGTTATTTGAGTTGTTATCAATTGCTCAGTTATTGATTAAATTGTTGATTACGACATACATAATTAATTCAGAAGTTGATTATCTTAATGTTTTATGCGATTGTCATAATAAATGTTTATTTGTGCGTGTGTTTGTGTGTGTAAAGTCATACTCTGGAAGGAGTAATACTTAGGTGAGGAATGAGAACACATCGACGAAACTGGAACAAAGTGGTAGCATTCCAAGCTCTCTTAAAAGATAATTCTTTTCGGTGAGTTCGTGGTTAAAATAGTTAGCAAACTTTATATTTTTAAATAAACAATAATTATAATGAAAATATTAATAAATGTGTGTGAGAATATGTAAACTTTAAACAAATTAATACTACCTATATATAATATATAATAAACGGATTCACTCACATTGATAACCCAAAAACAACTACCGAAAATTTACATAAATTTTTATTTGCACACGTAATGTAACATCACACAACTTTCACTTACCACTCTGTTCCAGTAGATTTATTTCTGTTTTTTAAGGTTTATTTATATGAAACTAAGAATATTATATATTATGCTATCAACATAAAACTTAATATTACTTTAATAATTAACATGAATTTAAGACAATTATTATACATCATGATAATTTATGCACTATATATTTTTGGTGTTACGGAAACTCTCCATTAGTTTCTACGATCTTAAATATATGGCCTTGCATTTTTTTTTTTTTTTACATCTTCAGCTTTTCAACGAAATATCAGAAATCTATAATATATTACAAATCTGGTTTCCGAAAATTTGTTTTTGACTTGTGTTGAAAATATGTCTCCCATTTTCGCCTTTAGTTTACCATCAAAATATTTCATATTTATGCATTTTGTTTTATCACCGATAATGAGAGACCTTTAATTTTTCCAATGAACAAAATTAATGGTAATTTAGGGAAAGAAACTTTGAAAATTCGAATTTTAAGCCCTATCAGACTGTTTTAATGAGGATAGGTCTGACTTACATGAAATACCATTACATTTTATATCAATATGACAAGTTAAATCAAAATAATTATAGCCGTTTTCGGGAAAATTAAAACATCCTAGGTATATATCTGCTGATACTGGTGGGGGATCTAGTCCGAACGGTAGTTTTGCCCAAAATCGGTCTTGGTCTTGCACTTTGCAAGACCAAGACCGCCTAACTGTCTATCTGATAACTACCTATCTGATCAACATGGGTAAAGAATTAATAAGTGAACTAAAATTCGAATAGAAATATTAATTTTTAATATCAAACAAATGAAGGTGTTTTGAAAATATTGTATTTACTTGTAAGAAACATTTTCGGTATTTATTTAATATATTTTTTGAAAAACGTTCCTTTGTAATTATTAATAATACTAACGAGACATATAATCAAGTCATGAATAAAATTGTTGACTAATTAATTCAATTCATTTCCATACTCACACGGATAAAAAGGTGATATGGAAATTATTGTAAACAAGTTGATTTGATAAGACATATGTACGAGTAAATTACATGTAGTCTAATTATCAGATGCTTATACAAATCATCTAACTCGTTCTGCATTTTTAATTATAATAACATTTTTTTTTTTTTACAAAATAGTGTTAGGAAAGTAAGATAGTGTACATTGCAATATGAAATCATGAATAACAAATGAAAGAAAAACGAACTTCGTTAACGTTAACAAGGGTTTCACACCCTCTCCCCTATCACCAAGGAGGAGCTTCTTATGTCTTTCCCCAAGAATTTTTTTTTTGTTTGAATTGAAAAAAAAAACCTCGTGAAATAAAGAATTTATATCATTTTCTTTTAGAATATTTTGTATTTTGAAAATTGTTTAGAGTCTTAAACCATTGATGAAAAAAGTTTTAGACAAATCATCAAACATGCTATTGATAATATTTTTTTTATTTATCGTTAAATAAGAAACATGTTACTTATATCACAGATCTCGAAATGGAAAGCGTACCACATCCGCTATATTTACCCACTCACCAATTGAATACCATTTTAAGAGCGCTAATACATTTTTTTTTTTTTTAATTAAAATTAAAATAATATAAGTCTTCTATCCATATTTCCTATTCTTTAAATCATAAATTATGTTGTTGTTAAGTAAGAGACCATTTGATTACCAATTTCTATATTTATAATTTTGGACAACGACGTTTTGGCTAATTTGTCCTCCTGTCTTCCCCACCATATCGGTTGGTCAGCTATTCCATATTAACATAAAAAGACGATGGTAGACTCAACTTATTTTTTAAAAAGGTAATTGTTATTCCGACGTTCATTATTAATATAATGAACATGTAATTACAAAAATGACATTGTATATGTAAATTTAAAAAAAAAAATTAATTGTTGTCTATTTGAATTAAAATTCACAGAAAGTCAAAACATTTTGTAAACTTAATAAGAGCTATAGTTTTAGCCGAAACTTCTTCTTTGAAATTATAAAATAAATATATAAATAGGTGATAAAATTGCCTTTTGTTTAAGAACAACTTAATAATTTGAGTCGTACAACACTTTACGTGCTTCAGTTGAGTATTAAAAACGGAATAACGAAAAGGTGAGAAATCATTTCAAATGAATGCTCGTGGTTCAATAAATATTAACACTATATATTGCGTAGCAATTGTTTTTACTCAATTATAACTAACTGATATATATATATATATATATATATATATATATATATATATATATATATATATATATATATATATATATATATATATATATATATAAGTAAAGTTTTTTTTATGAAATTCATTATTCATTTCTCAAAGTGTATGTTTATTTTGTTAGTGTATGTTTATAGTGTATCATTATATATAGTTTTATCTGTATTGTATATAGCTTGTTCACCTAAGGCTTTCTTTACTTTTTAGCATATTCTATTTATTGTTTCAAACTTTTAGGCCAGTAGTTTTCTCTTCTTTTTGTGCAATTTTGTTATTCTAAAGGGACTTAGTCCTAGAATAAAGTTTTTTTTCTATCTATCTATATATATATTTTTTAACTTAACCAAATATTTTTTTTATGTTTTATCGTCTCTGAGTATAAGGAAAACGCATGTATACCAACCTTTTAAATTTACATGTCATTTTGTACATTTCATAAACAACAGGCAGGATTGTCAACCGTTTTGAAGTCGATGGAGACATTCTATTTAAATT